AACCCCAAACCCCGCACCCCAAACCCCAAACCCAACCCCAACCCCGCACCCCGCACCCCAAGCCCGCTCTCACGGCGGTGCCGCAGCGGGGCAGGAACATCCCCAGGACGAAGGCGCCCAGCAGGGGCCCGCTGATCACCCCCATGACCGTGAACGAGCCCTGGCCGGGATTTGGGGTTTATTTGGGGTTTTTAACAGCGTTTGGGGGGTTTGTAGGGGATTTCTGGGGTCAGGGAGAGCTCCAGGAGGTTCCTGGCTCTGCCCCAATTCCCCTCCTCGAGGGTTCTCCGGGTGCCACCAGAGCGTGGCCGTGTCCCCTCTGTGTCCCCTCTGTGTCCCCTCTGTGTCCCCGCTTGGACGGGCACTGACACCCAGGGGGGGTTTTGGGGTTTATTTGGGGTTTTTTTGGGGTTTATTTGGGTTTTATTTGGATTTTTAGCGGGGTTTTGGGGGTTTGTAGGGGATTTTTGGGGTCAGGGAGAGCTCCAGGAGGTTCCTGTCACTGCCCCAAACATCCTCGAGGGCTCTCCAGAGCGTGGCCGTGTCCCCTCTGTGTCCCCTCTTTGTCCCCGCTTGGATGGGCACTGACACCCAGGGCGGGGTTTTGGGGTTTTTTGGGCGTTTTTAAGGGTTTTCTTTGTGTTTTTAGCGGGGTTTTGGGGTCAGGGAGAGCTCCAGGAGGTTCCTGGCTCTGCCCCAATTCCCCTCCTCAAGGGCTCTCCGGGTGCCACCAGAGCGTGGCCGTGTCCCCTCTGTGTCCCCGCTTGGACGGGCACTGTCACCCGGGGGGGTTTGGGTTATTTTGGGGTTATTTTGGGGATATTTTGGGTTATTTTGAGGTCATTTGGGGTTTTTGGGGTTATTTTGCGGTTATTTGGGGTTATTTGGGGGTTTTTTTGGGTTATTTTGGGGTTATTTTGGGGTTATTTTGGGTTATTTTGGGGCTATTTTGGGGCTATTTTGGGGTTATTTGGGGTTTTTTTTGGGTTATTTTGGGGTTATTTTGGGTTATTTTGGGGTTATTTTGGGGCTATTTTGGGGTTATTTTGGGGTTATTTTGGCGTTATTTTGGCGTTATTTGGGGTTTTTGGGGGCAGCAGCAGCCTAGGGAGGGGATTTGGGGTCTCGGGGGGCTCTCACCTGCAGGACCCCCCCTCCCAGCAGCGAGGACAGAGCGGCCACGGTGATGCACGAGGTGCCGTAGATGAGAGCTGTGGGAATATGGGACATCCCTTTGGGGTCCCACACCCCTTTGGGGTCCCACACCCCCTTTGGGGTCCCACATCCCTTTGGGGTCCCACATCCCTTTGGGGTCCCACACCCCCTTTTGGATCCCACATCCCTTTGGGGTCCCACATCCCTTTGGGGTCCCACTTCCCTTTGGGATCCCACATCCCCTTTGGGGTCCCACACCCCTTTGGGGATCCCACATCCCTTTGGGGTCCCACATCCCTTTGGGGTCCCACACCCCCTTTGGGGTCCCACATCCCTTTGGGGTCCCACATCCCTTTGGGGTCCCACACCCCCTTTGGGGTCCCACACCCCTTTGGGGTCCCACATCCCTTTGGGGTCCCACATCCCTTTTGGATCCCACATCCCCTTTGGGGTCCCACACCCCCTTTGGGATCCCACATCCCTTTGGGGTCCCACATCCCTTTTGGATCCCACACCCACTTTGGGATCTCACACCCCCTTTTGGATCCCACACCCCCTTTGGGGTCCCACATCCCTTTGGGGTCCCCATCCCTTTGGGGTCCCACATCCCTTTGGGGTCCCACATCCCTTTGGGGTCCCCATCCCTTTGGGGTCCCACATCCCTTTGGGGTCCCACACCCCCTTTGGGGTCCCACATCCCTTTGGGGTCCCACACCCCCTTTGGGGTGCCCCCCACCTCCGGCACTCACAGAGCCCCTTGGAGATGAGCGTCAGGCTCCGTGGGGACAGCGCCGGCAGCCGCGGCTTCACCAGGTCCTCGACGGTGACGGCGGCCATGGCGTTGATGGAGGTGGAGGCCGTGCTGGGCGTGGGGTGACCCCGTCAGCCCCCCCGGGGGGGGTCGGGGCGGTGACACCCCCCTGCCCCGCGGGGTGGGGACCCCTCCTCACCTGAGGGTCCCGCTGTAGGCGCAGGCCAGGAACAGCCCCGGCACCCCCGGCGTGCCCTCGAAGATGTCCAGCACCAGGTAGGGCATGTACTGCGGGGCCGGGGGGTCACGGGACCCCAAAAACCCCCTGGAACCCCCCCAAACTTCCCCAAAAACCCCCAAACTCCAGTCCCATTGTTTTGGGGGTGATGGAATGGGGCACGACCTCAGGGGACCCCAAAAACCCCCAAACTCCAGTCCCTTTGTTTTGGGGGTGATGGGGTGGGGCAGGATCTCAGGGGACCCCAAAAACCCCCGAGAACCCTCTGATCGAGGGGTCTTGGAAGGGACAGGACCCCCGGAGACCCCCAAACCCCCCTCTGTGCCCCTGGGAGGTCCTGGAAGGGATCAGGACCCCGAGAGACCCCAAACCCCTTTTTACCAACAACCCTGGGGGCTCCTGCAGAGGATCAGGATCCTGTGGGACCCCAAGAGACCCCAAACCCCCCTCTGTGCTCCCGGAGGGTCCTGGAAGGGATCAGAATCCCAAAAGACCCCAACCCTGGATGTGACCCCACTATTTGAGAGGTCCTGGAAGGGATCAGGACCCCAAAAACCCCCTGAACCCCCTCTTACCCACAACCCTGGGAGGTCCTGGAAGGGATCAGGACCCCAAAAACCCCCTGAACCCCCTCTTACCCACAACCCTGGGAGGTCCTGGAAGGGATCAGGACCCCGAGAGACCCCAACCCTGGATGTGACCCCGCTATTTGGGAGGTCCTGGAAGGGATCAGGACCCCAAAAACCCCCTGAACCCCCTCTTACCCACAACCCCGGGGGTCCCTGAGCGGACCGGGACCCCTCTGCGGCCCGGGGGGTTCCGGGGGGTTCCGGGGGGGTCCCGGGGGGGCCGTACCTGGTCGGGGGCGGCGATGGCTCCGGCCAGGAGCGGGTCACAGTCGCGATAGATCGCGAACATGACGAGCCCGCAGGCCACCGCGCTGGCCACGATGCAGAACAGCCCCGCTTGATTGACCAGCAGAGCCCTGCGGGGTCAGCGGGGTCACAGGGACCTGCCAGGTCCTGGCAGGGCGCGCCAGGACCCTGAGGCTCCATGCGGAGCTCAGCCAGGGTCCCTGCAGGGGGGTAAAGGGGGGCTCGGCCCGTGTAGGGGCGGTGTCGGGTCCTTGCAGAGGGGTCAGGTGGGTTCGGGGGTCGGAAAGGGCTGCGAGGTCCTTGCAGGGTCTGTGTAGGGTCTGGGCAGGGTCCTTGCAGGGTCTGGGCAGGGTTTCAGGTGAGTTCAGGGTCCATAAAGGGGTGCGAGGTCCTTGCAGGGTCTGGTTAGAGCTGCCGGGTCAAGGCAGGGTCGGGAAAAGGGTGCGGGGTCCTTGTAGGGTCCTTGCAGGGTATGTGTAGGGTTTCAGGTGAGTTCAGGGTCCATAAAGGGGTGCGAGGTCCTTGCAGGATTTGTGTAGGGTCCGTGTGGGGGTTTCAGGTCAGTGCAGGGTCCTTGCAGGATCCGTTTGGGGTTGTCCGGTCAGTCCAGGGTCCGTGTGGGGGTGTCCAGTCAGTCCAAGGTCCTTGCAGAGTCCGTTTGGAGATGTCCAGTCAGTGCAGGGTCCTTGCAGGGTCCGTGTGGGGGTTTCAGGTCAGTCCAAGGTCCTTGCAGGGTCCGTGTGGGGGTTTCAGGTCAGTCCAAGGTCCTTGCAGGGTCCGTGTGGGGGTTTCAGGTCAGTCCAAGGTCCTTGCAGAGGCTGTGCCAGGTCCTTGCAGGGCGCTGGAGCCACACAAGGACACCGACAGAGGACAGAGCCTCGCCCAGCGCATCCCCTGAGCGCTGCGAGCCCCCGACCCGGACATTTTCCGGCATCCAGCCCTTCCCGGGGACCCCGAGCAGCCCCGGACTCACATCTTGGCCTCCCTCTCGGTCCTGCAGGCCACGTAGCGCTGCACCTGGGCCTGGTTCACGCCGTACATGGAGAGCCAGAGCAGGCTCCCGCCCAGCAGGAACGTCCACACCGTGTAGCGGCTCCGGGGGTCCGGGCTGAAACTGGGGAGGGGCTGGGGGTGACCCCAGAGCCGGGGGAGAGCGGCTGGGGGTGACCCCAGACAGGGGGAGAGGGGATGGAGGTGACCCCAGACAGGGGGAGAGGGTCCGGGAGTGACCCCCAGGACCGGGGAAGAGGGGCTGGGGGTGACCCCAGAACTGGGGGAGAGGGGCTGGGGGTGACCCCAGAACTGGGGGAGAGGGGCTGGGGGTGATCCCAGACAGGGGGAGAGGGTCCGGGAGTGACCCCAGAGCCGGGGCAGGGTATGGGGGTGACTCCTTAACAAGGGGAGAGGGTCCGGGAGTGACCCCAGAACTGGGGAGGGGGTGGGAGTGACCCCAAAAGCCAGGGCAGGGGTGAGAGGGGTCCGAACACGGCGGGTTTGGGGGACACAGTGACCCCCGGAGCAGGGGCAGAGGGCCCGGGGGGGACACAGTGACCCCCCAGCACCCCGGGGCAGGCCCGGGGGGTCCCGCGGGGCTGGGGGAGGGTCTCACTCGGCGAAGTTGACCCTGGAGCCGTTGGCGGCGATGCTCAGCACCTCGGCGGGGCCCCCCACCAGCAGCACCCCGCGGATGGCCACGGCCGCAAAACCCGAGAGCATCACGAACACCTGGAACACGTCGGTCCAGATGACAGCCTTCATCCCGCCCTGAGGCACAGCGAGCCGGGGGTGAGCGCGGGGACACCCGGGACATCACCCGGGACATCCCCTGGGACACACCGGGACACCCGGGACACCTCGGAACATCACCCGGGACACCTCGGGACACCCAGGATACCCTGAGACATCCCCCGGGACATCACCCGGGACACCCGGGATACCCTGGGACATCCCCCGGGACATCCTGGGACACACCGGGACATCCCCCGGGACACCCGGGACATCCTGGGACATCACCCGGGACACCCGGGACACTCTGGGACATCTCCCGGGACACACCAGGGACATCACCCGGGATACCCCGGGACATCTCCTGGGACACACCAGGACACCCGGGACATCCCCCGGGACACTCGGGACACCTCGGAACATCCCCCGGGACACCATGAGACACCCCCGGGATACCCCGGGACATCACCCGGGACACATCGGGACACCCCGGGACACCCTCGGGACACCCGGAACACCTCGGGACATCCCCCGGGACGCCTGGGGCACCTCGAGACACCCCCAGGACACCGTGAGACGTCCCGGGACATCCCGGAACACTCCCAGAACACCCCCCGGGACACCTCGGGACACCCGAGACACCCGAGACACACCGGGACACCCCAGGACACCCGGGACACTCCGGAAGCCCCCAGGGACACCCCCAGGACCCCCCATCCCTCCCGCACTCACCAGGGCGGTGTAGAAGGTGCAGATGACCCCCGTGGACAGCAGCGACGCCCAAATGTCCAGCCCGGTGACTGGAGGAGAAGGAAAGCTGGGAATTGTCACCTGAGGGGGGGGACAGGGACGGGAGCGGCCCCCCAGAGCCAGCACACCTTGGTTTAGGATCAGGGCGGGCGCGTAGATGACGATCCCGGTGTAGAGCATCTGGGGGGGACACAGGGGGGTCAGAGGGGGTGACACGGCGGGGGTGACACCGCGGGGGTGACACAGGTGGGGTCAGAGGGGGTGACACGGCGTGGGTCAGAGGGGGTGACACAGGTGGGGTCAGAGGGGGTGACACAGGTGGGGTCAGAGGG